CAACTTTTTTTATTTAAATTCTACGGCTTTCTACAATTAAAATAAAAAAAAGTTGATCGAATTTGGTCAAATGGGTGCTGAGATATCTTCGATCAATTGTATAAAAAATTATGATCTACAGGGGTGTGGTATTATCAAAAAAGGGTGTGGAAATATCAATTCCCTATATTATATGCATTTAATTTCATATATATTAAATATTCTAATAATTATTTGACGCTTAAATATCAAGGATAAGAGAATCTTACCATGCATGGTATACTCGATTCAAAAATGACGTAGAGGATGAATATAATAATTATATGTTACCTGGATTTGGTAATTTGACTCGCGAACAACTATTTTTTATTTCGTACGGGCATTCTTGGTGTTCAAAGTCAAGACCTGAAACGGCTGTTGAAAGAGTAAGCAAAATAAATTATTTTTGGCTGTCTTTTTTTTTTTCTTTGCTCTTTATTAAACTTATTTAATGTAACTAATTCATCTGAATAAATTATTTAGGTTCGTACTGATCCTCATTCTCCTCCTAATTGGAGAGTCAATGGTGTTTTACGTAATACGGAGAAGTTTGCTGAGGTTTTTAAATGTAAATCGGGATCAAAAATGAATCCAGTAGGCAAATGTACTCTATGGTAACAATGACGAACATTCTATTAGTACTTTTTATCTTTGTATATATATGTGATATATATATGTGAAAAAAAAAACACTGAGCTTTCAGTTTAGTTTTATTGTGATTAATATTTATCTTATTACTTCAACTTTAAAAAATTAAAAAAGAATTTAAATAGCGCATTGGTACATTTTTGTGCATCCTATTTTTACTGTCCTCGGATTTGGGTTAAGAATGCTCATAAGTGCCTTTACACGAAATTTTCGCGTTATACACGTGATCATGTAATACGATTGCAACTTGCAGGAACTTTGAATAAATATTACATTTAGAGAAGTTGCATCTAGGGTGTGTAAAATTCGTAACGTATTTTCGCGTAATAATCCTCGTAATGATCCTGAAAATAACATGCATAGCTTCAAAATGTTGCCTATGCGTGTCCCGAATAACACGCATATTAGAATTAACGTAATTTAGCCACAGTCAATTTTCTAAGTGCAATTCATTGGGAGGCTTTTAGAAACATGCATTTAGAGAACAATTAAGAAAAATTGCATTTAAAACATATATTTGGGCCCGAAGTTAAAGTTGCATTTAGAGAGAAGTTGCACTTAAAGGGGTTGCACTTAGAGAGACATTCCTATGTCGGACGATCAGTATTTGACTCAAAATAATGCACGTGCGCATACTAATGACGCACATTCAAAATAACGTGTAGGTAAGCGTTTATTACGCGAAAATACGGAATTGTTATATATACTTGTGACTAAAAGAGCCTTTGCATTTGGAGAAAATTTTACTAGGAATTGCACTTAGAGGACGTGAACTTAGAGTTGACTGTTACGTGCATTATTACGCGGAAACAGAATTCAAAACAGGGAGTTTTGTATTATTTGCTAAAAACTTTTTTTCTAAATCAAAATTTAAAGTCTCTAAAATGCAATTTTTTTAACTTTCCACCAATAGTCCAGCAAGTACACATTGAGAAATGGAATTAAATCTGCAGGTGAATTTTATAAATTGTTTAATAATTCATGACCCAAAATTCAGGGATTCTCATATTTTCGGACGCGAAATGAAAAATAGCTATAGTAGTATACTTTACGTGATGGAGTAGTAATTTAAATTATCAAAATACGGACGTTATTTCGAAACTCCATTTTTTTGAAAATTGTTTTTTTGCCTCAAAATAACGCCCAAAATAACGCGACTCCTTAAATTACCATATTACATATTTTAATCGAATTTTTCAGGTTAAGTTCATAAATAAAAGTAGAGCTTCCTCTTTTAACCCAAATTTGTCAAAATGATTCGAATTACCGCGCATGCGCGTCCCAAAATAACGCGCGGGGTCTCGAAATAACGTGCAGATGCGCGTTATTACGTGCCAATACGGTAGGTATATTATTATTACAGTATTATGGATATGCCCAACCGCCCTGGTTAAATCACCAGGGGTGCTATATCTCAAAAACGTACTAATTAATTAAAGTTAGGGGTTCTAAGTAAAATTGTTCAGAACCTCTGAAAAACTTTATGTATAACATAAATTTGGAATATCAAATTTATTATGTTATATAAACCTCTATTTCATATTAAAATTGCACCCTAACTCTAGAGATGGTTAACATCACCACCGGTTAAAACTAGTTATTCTCAATTATTATTCCATGTTTAAATATTATTTAAATGAAGTTTTTAAAATTCTCTTATTCACATAATAGGACACGAAAATTATTATGGGCGAAGGTTTTTTGTAATTCTCCAGGATAAACGGGTTTAAATTCTTTTAAATAACGTGATTGTATTGTATTGTATTATTAAAGGCGAAGATTTGTTTTATATTCTTTAGAGTTATTTGAGTTGAAAACACCCAGTACCCTAGCAATGGCGAAAAATCGGCAGATCATGTGACAACTGATAAAAATCTTTAAATTTACTTAGATTAGGGTTAGGGTTCGAACCAGAGTTAGGGCTAGAGTTTGCTATAGGTAAAATTACCTTCCCAGCATTTTTTGTTAGTGCGCAGAAGGTTGTTTCTTATGAAGTTTGCCGAGAAATAGGCGATTTCTTCTAATTTTCTTTAGAGCGAACGTTTGTTTTGAATTTTCCTGATCGTGTTACGTTACACCAATCTGAAATCGTTATTGGCTAATTTACTGCAGATCGTCATATGATCTGCCGATTTTTCGCCATGGCTAGGGTACTTGTTCTTATTTTGTATTGAATAAATTATTGAAATATCGTTTACTGTATTTATAATAATCTAGTTTATGTTACTCGGAATTATATAATAGTTTTCATCTTTATTCGTGTAAATATTGAGTGTGAATACATTTTAAAGAACATTTATTAATCAATGTATTGGATGATAAATCAAGTTAAACAAAGTGATTGAAGAATTTAGCCGTTTGAAGTTAATTTTTCAATTAGCATCCTTCACTTGACTGTCTCTACGTCTCCCCAAAATATTTAACAGTAAGTGAGTGCCGATGAGCGAAAACAGAGAATTCTTGATTTTTGGAAATTCCGCTTACTGATCCAATCACTGATGAATTTAAATTAAGCATACCGTAATCCCGTGATAAATACACACCGACATCCCGTGATTAGCATATCTTTTTTTTTTACGGCTATATTTAAATTAGAAGAATTAATATATTTTTTATGATTTAATACATATAAGATGTTAAGAAATTATTAGAAACAAATATCTCCTACGGCTATTTTGAATTTATTAAATTACCAAATATTATCTCAGTAGGGTTAGATCGACTGAATTAATACGTATTGATGTCGGCTGTTATCAGTAATTTAATAATTCAATTAAATATCTAATCAATTGTGAAAATATTCAAAAGAACCTTTGAAAATCTGAAATTTATTTAACAAAAAAATAAAACATTCACTATACAATCTATCGTTTTATCAAGTAAAACCTGTGTCTCTATAGTTTATTATGGAACTTTCTAATATCGCTGCTCACAATTTTATAATTTTTTTTGATTACGCATCTTACGAGTCAGATCTTGACACTATATATAAAGATTATTATGATGAAGAAATAGATACCGATCAAGAATCAGATTCAGAATCGAGTGAAAGTACCTATACAGATGAGGAATCTGAAGACAATATACAGATTCCTGAGGAGTATCAGGTAGCTTTGAATGAATTAATCGATAGACTTAAAGAAAATTGTACTTGTAAAAAGCAAAATATAGTGAAAAAGTTCTTTTAAATCTTTTACAATCTTTAGCATTAGAATCTCTTCAATGAATTAAAACAATGACAATCACCAATAATGATACTCATGGCTGCTCCATTATTCTACAGAAATAAATAAATTTTAGATTATTATTATTATCTTTGTTTTTTTGAGTATGAAATCATTAAATCCAATTTTGAATATCTGTTTCAAACAACCATTGAAATCATTTTATTTATCGCTCTTTTTAAATTAGTGTGTCCATCGAATTTTGTAGAAGAATCTGTAAATCTGGAAATCAGCAATTTGATTTTCATATCCCAAACTTTTTTAAACTTTGAGTGAAGATATCTCGACAACCACCAGAAAAATTTAATGAAATTTTTTTTATTTGAATTACTGATTTGCAGAATTCGAATAAAGAAAAGTTCATTAAATTATGTCTGGTGGTTATTAAGAAACCTTCGCTCAAAGTTAAAAAATTTAAATGTAATTTTTCTCGAACTTTGTACGAATATATCTTGACAACCACCAACTTGATTTTGATAAACTTTTCTTTTTTATTTGAATTCTATATCTGTAGAATTCAAATAAAAAAATTCATCAAAATTTGATTGATAGTTGTTTAGTATATTCATTCAAAGTTTGAGAAAATTTTCTATTTAAGAGACTTGAGTTTTTAAAACAGCAAATTTGACGAATTTTTTTTTATTTGAATTTTAGAGAGTCATAAAAAATTATTAAATTTGATTTAGTATTTTATGAGAAAGCTTCTCTTAAATTTTGAGAAGTTATGCTACAGCATCTGTTTTGATGAACAGTTTGAGTTTTTTGAGCGAAGATATCTTTACAAATACCAAGTCAAATTTAGTCACTTTTTTTATTTGAATTCTACAGATCTGTAAAATTCAAATAAAAAAATTCATTGAATCTGACTTAGCGGTTGTTAAGATATCTTTGCTCAAAGTTTGAGATAATTTTATTTAATAGATGTTGAATTTATTAAAACCTTTGAGCAAAGATATCTAGACAACCACCAAGCCAAATTCGTTTTTTCTTTTTTTTGAATTCTACATGTTCATAGAATTCAATAAAAAAAATGGTTATTGGATATTTGATGAGGTAACTTTATTCAAGGTTGAAAAAATTTATCACTTTTGATAGACGTGCGTTGAATTTTTTAAAACTTTGAGTGAAGATATCTTGACAACTATCAAGCCAAATTTGATAAACGTTTTTTTATTTGAATCCTACAGTTCATAAAATTCAAAAAAAAAAAAACTTCATTGAATTTGACTTGGTGGTTGTGGAGATATCTTTGTATTAAGTTTGAGAAAATTTTGATGCAACTTTTATTTGAAAATTTTTTAAAACTTTGAATGAAAATATATCAACAGCAACCAAGCCAAATTAATAAACTTTTCTTTATTTGAATTATACTGGTTCATAGAATTTAAATAAGATAAGTTCATCAAATTTGACTTAGTGGTTATCAAAATATCTTCATTCAAAGTTTAAAAAAAATTAAGAAATATGATACAAGAAAAGGCTTGAAATTTTCCATATTATTTAGCTACACAAACAACCAGCTCTTGTATATTACTTGTTAGGGAACTATCACTTATTACGTAATTATAGCCCCCTCCAGAGTCAGTCATTTAACAATTACAAGTTCTAAAGTAATCAATCGTTTGACAATTGTAAGCTCTAAAATAACCAATTGTATAGAATTTATATTATGATTACTTTAGAACTTGTAATTGTCAAATAACTGACTCTAGAGGGGGCTATAATTACGTAATAAGTGATAGCTCT